GTGTGTGTGTGTGTGTGTGTGTGTGTGTGTGTGTGTTTCCACTCTTTTTCAGGGTGATACCTCAGGAGACTACCGTAAAACCCTTCTGATTCTCTGCGGAGGGGAAGATTGAACCCGTCACGTCTCTGCAGCTCGGTTCTCCGGCTTTCAGCCCCCACAACAACCAGCTCATCTCACAGAGCCATGTGGTTTTCGCCAGTGATCCTGACCCCCCCACCCCCAGCCAAATCACCCCACCYTACGACGACCTGTCAGCCTCACGAGCCAGCTTTCTGCTTTAATTCCCCCCCTTGTGGCGGTGATGATGTTTTGTCTTTTTTTACAGTGTCAAATGTAACATGAAGTTGTTCTCGTACAGAAACAGGCTTCATGAGTACATTAGCAGGTGTTAAAGCAGTGCCTTCAAACGATCGCCCGCCCAGTGAGTACTGTYACTTTTAAATATACTCAAATAAACTAATAATAATAAAAAAATGTKCTGTACTTCATTTTGTTCTTGTAATAAATGATGTGTTGTAACAAAGGTGAATAAACTCACTTTTCTCTTGCAGGCATTTTTTAATTTTTTTTAAACAGAATGTGCACTAGTTTCAAATTGGCTGGGCAATTTAATGATTACCTGTATTGACAGGAGCACTAACACAACAAAATAGGAACTAAAACATTTAACACCAGGAAACTCCCGTCCAAGTCAAAGCCTCTACTGTCTGACAAAGTCYAAAATACCCTCGTGTTGTTGCTTCTACTGAAAAGAAGAATAAAAATATCAGCTACCATAACTCGTACATTCATAAAACTCATGTAGTCCGTTTGGTTCGCACAAACACACAAATATAACATGCTTAACGTAACGTTTTCATGTTTTACACGTCATGTGCTTTGTTTGCACTTGTTCGCTCGTTAATGCAGCCCAGCGGTCTGTGCTGTCGTTGGGTGTCTCAGTTGGTTGCGTGTGTGTGAGTGCAGCTGTTGTCAGGCCACTTCGGGTTAAAAGAGGAAAGGAGAGAGAGAGAGAGAGAGAGAGAGAGAGAGAGAGAGAGAGAGAGAGAGAGAGAGAGAGAGAGAGAGAGACATGTGTGGCGAGGAAATCCCCTGCAGCACGCCAAAATCCAAGGCAACAGAGTCTGCAGCAGTCAAGTCAGTCACTTTGCTCTCAATGGCACGCCCAGCTGAAATGTCTCCATTTGATGATAATTACAAATGATAACATCAATCACACTATTAACATATCAATATGTACACTGCTCATGATTTCCCCCTTTTCGTTGCAGGGGAAGTTTGTTTTTCTTTAATCGTGGTGTTGCTCAGTTTGTTCAATAAGACTTTAATTGCAGACACATCATGTCTAAGTTGCCACAGAACTTCTAAGTGTTTCAGTTGAATTTTGTTTAATCTATTTGCATGCACATAAATAAAATCTCATGTCAGGCCTTCTGAACACTTTCCTCACCGTGCGTTTAGTAAAATACCTGCAGCACTTTCAGATTATTCAAGTTTTAGCAACAAGCAACCARGTGAGCAGCAAGCAACTGCAGGCAACTGCTCCAAAAATGTATATTAAATGCAAACAGCTCTTTTTTTTCTCCTCTTTTTTTTTTTATAACTTGTGTTGTTCTGTAAAAAAAAAGGGAGGCCACACAGTTGGAAACACACCAGGTTCTGTTCAGGCTGAGCCTGCAGTTTTAGACCATTTTACTGGGTTACGGGAATTCCCCAAGTCTCACAGTGAAATTGCTTCCCCCCTTATTCTACCAGTTTCCTTAAAAAGTTTCTCGCCGACAGGCTGAATGTGTGGGTGAGTTGTTTATTTGCTTTTAATATTTCACAGGTAGATGCAGAACGTTGTGAAGATTGGGTAATTTCTATTTATTTTTGTTTTTTTGTGTGTGTGGTTTCTTTTTCTCAGCTGAGGGGTGGCTGCAGCCATTTTAAGTTGTCATTTTGTAACTCAGAGCAGAAAAAGTTGCATGATGGAGGCTCAGTTTTAGTTCTCACTAATTTAAATATATTATTACCTTTAAAACTGTATTTTTAACAGCTATGCCACAAATTTATGCTATTTATTACCAAATTATTTAGTAATGTTTTCTTTTATAATTGTTTAATGGGCCTATACCCTCATCAGAAATAAGGCCTAAAAGTTTTCAAAATACAGAAAGCAATTTTTTTTAGCCTAACAGTTAAATTTAGGGACAAAAGTTAAATAGTGGCATTTCTAGTGATGGTTTTATTATTATTATTATTACAATATAAAATCGGCACCTTATTTGAAACTTTTGCAGGACATTTAAAGCTACTTCCTGTCCAACAAAAGGACATTTTGTCTTCAGTCGCTCAGAGTTAATGAAAATCAGCTGCTTGGAGACGGGATGCAGGGACGGTCCGTGTCTCTCGTCTGAGTGAAATTAGAAGAAATGTTTCAAAATGGTTTGAAACTGTGAGAAGATGGAGAGTGCAGTTTGTGACCCTGCAGGAGTGATGGGTGACATTTCCTGTATCCTGAGGCTTTTGTTGTGTGGTTGTATTCATCACCCCCCCACCCTTGCTTATTGTTTTCAGCACATCACAGCAGCCCGAGGAGGAAATACTGAGCACCAGTAAACACAATGTGTTTGGTGGCAGGACTGAGAGGAGGGGGGAAAAAACCAAAAACAAATGTTTGGTATGTGAGCCACCTGAGCAAAGTGTTGTTATTCTCATTGCTGAAAGGGGGAGACAGGTTCACACGCTTAGTCATTCATTTCTGACTGATGAGCGTCAAGTTTTTATGAATCAAAATAATATTTTAGTTTTCCTTTCACTCAGCCTTAAGTCCTCAGTGTGGCATTTCAGAGAAATAAATTCACACACCAAAAAAATAAAAATAACTAAAAATACCCCATTTAAACCATTACTAATAAAGTGTTCTATTTAAAGAGGAGCCTTGTTCACTAAAAGCTAAACTGTTTTCTCTAACGGTGGTTTTAAGATTAGTTGTGCTTCAGTGCCGCAGTATTGCGGGTGCACAGGAAGTGATAATTGGATGCAGATAAAACAAAAGGTTTGATTCTGATTCCTTTCAGCTGAACGTTTTGTGTCAAATGATTTACTAACTGGGTTTTTCCCATTCTAATAAAAAAACTTCTGCCCGATAAGACCTCCAAGGTTTAAAATAATAAGGTCCTTGCTGAGTTTTTTTTTTATTATTATATTTTTACAACCTTGGACCTATTAAAGTGTGGAGTTGGGACCAGAAGCTTGTGTGTAAAGTGTGATTGTGTGAGGTGACACTCTGAATTGCTTCATTTTTTTTAATTGTTGAAGCTTAAAGATGAGAAATTTTTTCTAAGGTTAAAATTAGGTATTTTCATTCCCACAAGATGTCACTATTGCTCTAAATAATCCCTTTATTTATTTTCATGTGCTTTAAATCATGTTTAAAAAAATGAGTTTTTTTGTTTCATTTCATAACCTAGAGCTAGACTTTAAAAACACATTTTTAAAATTTAAAACAAAAATACAAACCAAAGCTAAAACAAGCTGTGCTTTATTTGAGCTGCTTTAAAATAACAAACTAAAGCAGGTAATCCTGGCTTMCAGTTAAAAATTGATCTAATTTTAAAAATAAAAATGGACCCTTGTCAGTAATTTATTTCATACAGAGCAATATATTTCAATATTCTCATTGATCTGATGTGGTAGTTTTGTTCTCGGAGGTCTGGATGTGTTGACTGGAAAATATCAAGGCTTTTATAAGGTGAAGTTTTAAACAAAGCAAAACTTTAGGAATAAGAATAAAACACTATGATAGGGTACGTGTGGTATTACACTGTGTTGTGTATTAATTTGTCCATCGTGAGAGAAATCTTGGCAAAGATTCACACAAACATCAGCCTAACCTCAGCTTTGACTTATTCAGCTTGTCTTTAACATCAGCCGAAGGCATGAGCCAAACATTCATAGATGTGTCTTTATTCAGATGAGATTATTTTCACCTGAAGCTTTTAATTAAAAAAAATCATTTTATGTTTTGCAAAATAATCTGTGAGCTTACAGAAGAAGCATTTTTTGTGAATATTTACAAAAAAATGTTTTATGATGGAACAAAATCGGCTAATTTAAACAGAGTAATAAAGGTCTGAATTAGTTGAACTTTTTCTGTGTTGTTGGTTACTTTTCCAACTCGTATTTTAACCGTCTTTTGGTTATAATGAGAGCATTTCCAACTTTAACTATCTGTTTTGACTGTTGGCCAACATCATAATTTAATTGTGGAAAAAGCCAGAATTTCACAATCACAATCTTTATTGTGATATGAAATCATTTATGTGGATTTTTCTTTACATTGCACAACGTTTTAATGAAGGAGATAGCTTCAAAGAGAACATGTATTTATACAGAATTGATTTAATTGAAATTGTGATATACTCTTAAAGTTTCACTAAATAAGATGAATTTTGTTGTTTTTTAGGCACATGTGCTATCTTTTTATATTGCACAGACAAAGCTATGAAATGTGTCCATCAATTGAAATTACATATGTTTTAAACATTAATCTAATGTGTAAAAGTATATACCTTTTATTACAAAGTGTTTATCTCACAATAATTCAAATTAAAGTTTATTTTATAAACTCATGGTTAAGAAATGTAAATATTACTAAGTGCATTTTTTTGGCTTAGTCGGTTTGATAATTTTATGCTGTATGATTATTTTATTACACATTCCAGAAAAACTAAATATAAATTGTTCATTGATGTGACTGATTAACTAGTAAAGTTAATTTGCTGTAACCTTAATGATGATATATTTTTACAGCTCTAGTTAAACGGAACGCTTCGTTTGATCTAGATGTGGGTCTTGTTGTCTTCAGTTCAGAGGAAATATGTGATGCAATAACAGAAACCCCCATCAGCCCCTCTGAATTTATCAATGAGTAAAAAAAAAGTTTGTGTCTGGATTAGAAAGACTGCTCTTCAAAAAGAAATTAAAAAAAGAAAAAATCTTTTACTGAGGTCACCTTGATTCATGTTAAAATTGACCTTTTTGAATATATATATATAT